AACATTATAGAATGTAGAGGAAGCGATCACAAACCCAACTCATTGGTGGCGCAGTGGTCTGTGCGTTTGATCATCAGATCAAGGGGGCGTTGGGGAACTCCAGTTCGAAACCCGCTCCTGCGTCAGGCCGTTGTGTCCTTGGGCAAGACACTTCACCCGAATTTGCTCCTGTGGGTATTGTCCACAGTAGATGACCATTACATGTATGTGTAATGTGTATTTGTAAAGCGCTTTGAGAGTCATTGATAAAGCGCTATAATAAATATAAGGATTATTATTATTATTATTATTGATACGGTGGTATCTTGGGGTGACCCCCACCGCTGAAAATCCCCACCGTGCCATATTGGCTGTTACTGTGTGACTGCCAGTTACTGAGGCACCTCTCCAATGGTAGACAGACTGAAACTGCAATGCAATTTCAAGTGGGGAGAGGCTCGAGGGAGTGTTGGCCAAAGTTACGGAGCGTGGCGAGATGAGCAAGCTCTGAAGCGAGGATAAACTTCAGTGGTTAGCAGGAAAGAGGGGGGGGGGGGCTAGCACTTGCCGGTTCTGGTCATTTATGGCCCTTGAGATGTGTGAAGGGGCATTGCCTCTCACCCACACTGATAATGGTGTTTGCGATGAAAATAACTTTCATCATCACAACTGTCAGCGTCTTCCGCAGCAGCAGCCATATTTGTTCTGGGTCTGGAGTGCTCTGATAATATCGAGTCTCTTGAGAGGAAAGTGTATTATTTTCCGAAGATAGTGTTGCTTTACTGCTGATATGTTGGACCTTTTTGCAGTCTTTCACAACCCTGCTTGCAACAAAGTAGACCAAAACTACACAAAGAAGATTTCTGACGTCAGAGATATTTCAAATCTGTATCAGTCTGTATCAGATCCGTTGCAGCCCCGTTTTTAGAGATTTGGGTATGGAGGAAAAGAGAGAGGGTTGTTTTTTCTGACACAGGGGACACATATTCATGTATAAAAGACGTATAAAAGTGCACGCATGATAGGTCCCCTTTAAAGGAGAGTTAATATTGGACCTACAATCATCAAGTAGACATGACTCCATAAAAGAAAAGGTGATTCAGACAATGTTCAAATATTTCCTTTTACCTGTAGTGTTATTTATTAATCTAGATTGTGATAGAGTTATTCAAACTCAAGTATTTGAGTAAGCTGGTTGTGAGCAGTTTCATTCAAGAACTGTTTTCTTTTTTAATGAAAAGCAACCATGCATCTACTCACGGACGAAAAATCAGCATCACGCTTCTTTTGTTACGATTGGCATTTGTAGTTTATCAGAAAGAAAATAGGACCTTTGAGCACTACAAACCATCAGAAGAGGCAGACATCTCTATAGCCAATATGTCCAACACATAAATAGCAATACAGGTAACAAAAAGTTACGTTTTTTAACTGAACTGTTCCTTTAAGTACGTTCTGACTTTTTCATGCAATCCATTATAGATATAAATCACAGCTCTACAAAAAACACTCCACATCACTAGAGAAATGATTGAAAACGTAGAGAGAAGTGTGGGGGGATTATTCAACTGATCACTTGTTAACCTTTGAAAGACACAAAACAATCAATGGACTGTGTGTGTGTGTGTGTGTGTGTGTGTGTGTGTGTGTGTGTGTGTGTGTGTGTGTGTGTGTGTGTGTGTGTGTGTGTGTGTGTGTGTGTGTGTGTGTGTGTGTGTGTGTGTGTGTGTGTCTTCGTATCCATTAAGTATCCTCAGTACAAGCTCAGGAGGGGAACAAGATTGTATATATCATGACAGTTTTATTAGCCGAATCCTTCTTTCTCATACCACCCACTTTCCAAGCCATCCATTAATAGACAAAACTCCATTTGCACTCCAACAGCATTATCTTCACAGACTAAGTATGGTATTACGGTGAAAGACCGCAGCACTGCTGAGAATAGAATAGAGTTTGCTTGTGAAGCCATGAATCAGACCGGTGTTTTTCTTGGCGATTCGGCCTTGAGGAGTAGGTTACTCTGTAGCAGCAGACAGTGTTTTGTGATGCTGTTGTGCAACTATAACATTTTCTCCAATTAAGGCACACGCTGTAAAAATGTACTTCTTACAGAACATCATTGATGGACATTGAAGCGTAGAAAATGTCCAGATTGGAAAACTGGCGGTTGCAGTGTGGAGAACGCCAGAGCAGCATGGTATCACATTATTTAGGAATAATAATATGATTCCACCACTCTCATATGAAATGCAAGGTGGCAAGGCGGCAGTAATTAAGAACACAGCCTGCTTTCTGTCACAGTACAGACTAAACACCTGCGTATTTGAAATATTTGTAGCCACATTAAGCTATCTTGAGAGCATCACTGTGGCCTATTTAATGTCAGCAGAATCTAGGAGATGTTTAGAGCACAGTCCCACTCCCTCATTTGTGTACAGTGGTAATGCGTGGGAGTTCGGCTTGGCCGGACAGCTCAATCTCTCTGGGGTGCCAGCAAATTCTCCCACGGGCCAACGAGCTGGCTTCAGATAAATATATGGCCCCTTTTTTCATGCAGGGAATTATGAGAACTTGTTGCTATTTTAGCAAGCAATTACAGAAAACTCTTCCAACCCCCTTTCAACTATTTGAAAAGAGGTCATGCTCTTATTACCTTTTGTTTTCTCTAGAGGCTGAGATTCCTCAATAACCGGCACGGATTAGTCATTTAATAATTAGCAAGATGAAAATGTTGGACATGTTTACTTTACATTTTAAAGAGTATGTTTACAACTTCATTTCCTGGATGAAAGTCAGTAGCTAACTTCACATTTTGGCTGTCTTAAAGTCAAGGAAAACCTTCTTTTTTTTTTAACTGTGAGTGTTGGGATGCCTTATGAACATACATTTTTCTGACAGCTAAAAACTTTAGGTTGTTTTTATTAAGAGAGATATTGTATTTGTGTTTTGTCTGCACTCTTCTTACTGCTTAGGAATCAGTTAGTTGCCACACAGTTTAGTTAATCATTTAAAAAAGATTGTATTTTTTAAGAACCATAACCGTTAGACCTCATATTAGGCCCTTTCAAGTTTTTACAAAAAAAGTCTAACAATGGATACATGGGACTGGAAAGTGTAAATGTCAGTGTGTTTATTCGAAAACCTTGCTCAGCAGACTATAAAACATCTGGCTGGATGAGAGGTTACAAAAAGACTCAAGTTGGAAACATTAGCGAGACATGATGGAAAGGTTACCAAGAAAATAGTCAATGAATGGAGGAAGTGACTGTCGGCATACTTGCAGTAGGTGGAGTGCACAAATACAAACAGGAAGCAAAATGACATTTGGGAGGAGAGCTCCCCCCCTAACTGTACGGGTCTTATTTCATTTAACTCAATGTGTCCATCTGCTGGTTGTTAGTGGGTCTGCCATGACGTCATCTCAGAAGAGATTGTGATAAATATAGAAAGAAAGAGGCAGACAGCAAATCAAATACATTTTAGTAAAAGGTTTTATTCAAAAGCGTCCCAAGTACAATCCTTTATCATATCTTACAAACATCTGGTATACGCACAAAAAAAGGACAACATGGGTGAGAAGTTTACAGAGGAACATATAGGATGACGAACGTTTAAAAAAAAAAAACTACTTGATTGGCAAACTAAAATACGAACAAATCACCCTTATCAAAGCTCTCGAAACATTATCTGAAAGCAAAACGAAGCCGAATGTGAGGAACCTGCTGTGCTCTCAAAGAGAAACTGTTCTCTGTTAAAGTGAAATGATTGTAAAGGAAGGAGGGTACGCCTGGACTGTCATTTGTCTTAAACATTAAGACTCTTGCTGGCATTGAAATGAATTACTCTTTGAAATAATGTTATACTCACGCTCTTCTTTTGAAAACTCAAAGAAAGATACATAATTATTATTTATTTGGGATTTGTATAATCTAAAGCTTAGTGCAGTTTTTCTTCCTCAAAGCTTTTCAGTTGAATTTGAAATTCCACAATCTTTCCCTCTATAAATGTGTGCAATACTTATTCTTTACAGTTTAGTCATAGTTACACAAAGCAAAATTCAACATAATTAGGATTATCAATAAGGACGCATATTCACATTCATGGAAATCAATGTTTTCCTGCACACACACACGGGCCGTTTCTCAATGTCGAGTAAAGCTGCTGCAGAGCCACTATTTCAAGTATACTACGTCATCGAGTGGCGCCGAAGGACTGTTTAAAAGCCCAGCATTCGGCGCCACTCGATGACGTAGTATACTTGAAATAGTGGCTCTGCAGCAGCTTTACTCGACAATGAGAAACGGCCCGGGTCAAACCAGCTCTGTGCGTCATGCTTCAGCCTCTTCCCCACACACAGGTTCCACGTTGAGTGTTAGCTACTTCCAGATTTGGCGTAGCACTAAAAAGGAAGCAGTGTAGAACATACACCGTGTTAAAACTGGAAGATAGCAGCTTGATTTAGTCTGAGATCAACCGTAGAGATTACAGACATGCTCAGAAACTTTACCTCAAGCTTCTGTTTTTTGACATTCCCAAAACTCAGATCACAATTATCCTCTAGATCTCCTCACCACCACAGAGGTTACAAGACCAGACAGTAATGGAGATCATTCAGGATCTAAAATGGGACTCAATGTGGGGAACAAGCGTGGGGTTCATTAACTGAGCAAGAGACGCTGCTATGATGCAAAAAGACATGTCGAGGAGCAGAGAAACGTCACTCTGCGCCTCAGAGAGACACGTCTTCATTTTCCAACCAGGCAGTGATTCTTAGCAGATAACTAGTGGTGGAAAGTAAACCCAGCATACAACTGAACATCAATGATTGGGCTTTCAACATGGCTGGTGCTGGTTAAAGACTGATTGGTACATTAAAATGATACTGACATTTAAAAAAAGAAAATACAATTAACAATCATTTTTCTGCATTAATAAACTAAGCACGTATAGACATTGTCAAGCATCAATAAATAAACGGGACATATCACTCACTGCACTGAATTTTGGGAAAACCAATTCTCTGGTAAGGCTGGCGTAGTTGTTTTTACATTCATGGGAACGAGACTGTTAACTAAGTACCGCCTCATACTCGCCAAGAGACACAAGACACATAGTACTTGAACTGTTTTACAATCAAGCTAAGAAAGGCACTGGAATAATGTTACACCACATCGGATTCTTATGCTCTCAGTTATCCATCTTGAAAAAGGTAAAAATCTAAAAATCTTTCGTTGGACATCATTTGTTTTTGAAAAATAAAGTTTGACATACTTAAAAACATTATTTTTTGCACCTTTGACTCATTTTAGCAAGGACCGTTTACAAAAAGTAATTTGCTATAAAAAGAAAACAACAAAAACGTGCTTATGGCATTTTGCTTATCAAATCAGCATTTGATTGACACCATTTGCACTAAAAACTCTTGTAAGAACATGAAGACATTAACTATGGTTTTGTGCGGAGAAAAAAACGTTTTTGAGTCCTTGAGGCCAAAAATATTTTTTAGTAGTTTGAGGAAATGCTTCGTAAACTGTGACCCACGAGGAGGAAGACACAAAACAAATATAAATTAGTGCTCTGTGTTGACGGATACTACCAGAAGAGAAAGAGGACAAGATAAACTAAATATATATACACTAACACAAACAAAAATACTAAGTGGGTCACAGTGCTACCCATTTGGACAGGGTTTCCTAGAGGTGAAAGGACAACGCTACATTGAACCGTGCCGCCCTCCTCGGGGAGAAACAGCACTTTTGGAAGTCATAGTCCTCGCCGGCTTTGAATGATTTGGGTCACTGGACCTCCAGTTTGCTGTACTTCACGCCGCGGCTCCACTGCAGCGACCGCCACGACAGCGGCAGCTGATAGTTACGAGGAACCATCCCGCTGACATTCTCCTCGAAGAACTGGAACAGTCTGTACCACCAAACCCGCGAGAACGGGTTACTCTGCGATGTCTCCTTCAGCGACTGAAACAAACAAAACAACAAATAAATGACATGTAAATTAAGTGTGAACCTTAAATACCGGGCACGCATTGAGGAACCAAGACTTGTATTGAGTCATTTACTTCACATTTTTCCAAGACTTCTGTCCTTTTGCATCATGTCAACTGTACTTTTTGTTTGAGTAGACATTTTTAAGATACAATGTTGATCATAGCTAAAATAATAAACCAGACAAGAATATGTTTATTCTGGCTTAAAAACTAAACTAAACAACTAAAAGCTCAAGAACAGTCATCACAACTAAGCGTAAATTCCTGTAAAGTTAAACAATATTTAAGTAATACATGGATATTTTCAGAAATATTTTTGCCTTCTTTGAAATTAAGGAAAACTACTCTCTTGTCTGTATGGCTGGAAGCTACAGCTTATGTAATACTGCATCCTATCTTAATCATTTAATACCAAAGCACAAGTGTAAAACAGAAGTGTTGTCTACAAGCTAAGATGATTGGCTGCAGATTCATATTTAGGATAAAGTTATGAGTGGTATTGCTCTTCTCACACTAAAAAGCCAGCAACCAAGGTAACAAGCCTTTAACTTAAATGTTGGGGCTGTCCTTTTAAGCCAATTTACTTGACTTACTTATTTCCAACTACAAATGACAACTTAAAAAACTCACCTGCTGGTTGGCCATGGTGTGGTACCACCAAAAGAGGCGTGTAGTGATGAAATATGCAACCACCACATCCACAGTGTAGTGGTCATGGGCCAGGAGGATGCAGAAAATCCCAACAGCGCTCAAGCTCCAGCAGAACCAGTGGTACCACCAGAACCGCTTGGGGGAATCTGCCAATTAAAAAAGGTACAAAATAAATGGTTAATATGGGAGAAACACAGATCAAACCCAGCAGTGTCAACTCTAGAGGAGACCAAATCATTGTTAACAGCTCATCATCAGCCTCTTAGAGTCAGCTGTTCACTTTGGCTTTTCGACAGAAATATTAAACAAGCTGTTCTCCATTTCACCACAAGAGGGCGCTACTGTGGAGGACAAGCATTGCAGTAGCATGTGATGTAGCAGGAGGGAAAGACATTTACTGAAAGTGTCATAAAAGTACATTAACCAATGCAGTTCAAATAATCCTGAGTTCTGACACTCATGCTCTGCGGTTAACCAAGTAGCGCTTTGCAAGCCAGATGAGTCACGTAACAGAAATGCTTACCGAGTAACCGAACATTTGGTTATGCAACAGAGCAATGTCCCAATGCACGAACACTCGCATGATGCAGGTTTCCTGCTCATTTCCGTTATCATTTAGAGAAGTGTTACAAAAGCATAAGCACATGGTTTAACAGCCTGGTCACAATTTAGGAATAGTAAATCCTTATTTTCATATCTAAACTGATATTGCAATACATTATTACTTTGAAACAACATCCATAACATTAATCTGGCTGCTACTTAGAAATTATTTATCTAATATATCATATTCCAATAACTTGTATATAAACTCTTATTGCACTATTTCATCTTTTTTACTATTTTACTTTTTGCATTTACTATTTACTTGCACTATTTTCTTTCTGTTTATCTGTTTTATTGTGTTGCACTGTTGGAGGAGCCTGTGACCTAACATTTTCATCGTCATAACTACACTGTAGCTATGTTCGTATGACCAATAAAAGCCTTGAACCTTGAATCATAGCAGATGGGTTTGTGGCGATGATCTGCTTAAAATGTGTAAATATAAAGATAGACTTTGAGGAAGTGAAAGGAGCTTCATTTGTGGCATTAAAGTAGAAGCCACCCATTACATTCTTCCTTAAACGATAGTATAGGCACAGTGGAACTTACACTCCTTGATGAAGAGGTATGTTAGCGTTAGCATGACTGTGTGGCCACTGTACAGATAATCTCCACACATGGTGTGGGACCCTGTGATGGAGAGGCCCCCACCAGCAATCATCTTCATTATTCTCCTCATCTGCGCCTCCCAGTTCCCGAGAAGCTGAAAGACACACAGACAGACAGTCATTATCCTCTTAGGGTTCCTAATAACAGTGTAACTACTAACAGTTTTCCTGGAAGCTCACAAAGAATTATGTCTAAAGGTAGGATGTAGAGTGGGCGGTAACACCTATTACATTACATTGCATTTAGCTGACGCTTTTATCCAAAGCGACTTACAATAAGTAAGTTCGACCAACAAAATACAAACTTGAGGAAAACAGAATCATATAAGTACATCAGGCTTCATAGAGCAAAAACATTTCAAGTGCTACTCAACTGGCTTTAGATAAGCCAGCCCTTTATTAGTATATAAGTGCTTTGTTAATAGTTATATCGCTCGAAGTGGAGTCGAAAGAGATGAGTTTTCAGTCTGCGCCGGAAGGTGTGTAAGCTATCTGCTGTCCTGATGTCAATGGGGAGCTCATTCCACCATTTTGGAGCCAGGATAGCAAATCCACGTGTTTTTGCTGATGGGAACTTGGGTCCCCTTCGCAGCGAGGGTGCAGCGAGCCGTTTGGTTGATGCAGAGCGGAGTGCACGTGCTGGGGTGTATGGTTTAACCATGTCCTGGATGTAGGAAGGGCCAGATCCATTCGCAGCATGGTACGTAAGTACCAGTGTCTTGAAGTGGATTCTAGCAGTTACCGGAAGCCAGTGAAGGGAGCGGTAACACCTAATCAGATATTTAGTGGAAAAGAAAGAAACCCTCTTCAAATATTTCCTCTACAGGATTACTACTTGTACTCTTTTGAATAGCAGAAGTGAAAATACTCATTTAAAAGTAAAAATATCTCCATGTATTTACAGTTAAAACAGGACTTGAAGGTAGTGGAAGGTGTAGAGCAGGGGTGTCAAACTCAAATACACAGTGGGCCAAAATAAAAAGAATCGGTTCTCGTCGAGGGCCGGACTGGTTCAATGTTTATTGCAAAACTTATTGCACATATTAAACCTAACAAAGCTTAAATTATTGCCTATAAAAACAACATTAAATAATCAGTTGCATTCATTTCTTATGGCTCTATCTGCAGCTTTTCCGGAGTCATTTCTTATGATTACATTTTTTCACAGGCCAACAACAGCTTCAAAAAAACTATTTCCCTCAAACAAAAAAACAAACATGCCCTGTTGTCGCAAGAAAAAAAGAGCAGAAGGAAACATCCATGGAAACTCAGTGTGCTGCTCTGTGATGCTAGATCAAGCCAGATACTTGGCATCTCATCTTGGGTGCAAGTTCATCAATGTTTGGGCTCAGGCTCTGAGCTGAGGAAATCCTCAGGATGGAGTGAAGGTGTGCGTGCAATATATACCGGCAGGTCAGATCTAATAGTAATTCAAAATGATCCTGCGGGCCGAAATTAAATCCACCATGGGCCTGATTTGGCCCCCGGGCCTTGAGTTTGACACATGTGCCCTAGAGAGATAGGCATAAAAGTCACTCATGTTATATTGCTTACACAGGCCTTAGCTAATCTTAACTAATGTCAGAATACTGCTTTGAACCAGTATGCAAACAGTAACCAACTCCCTCTCTTGTATATAAGCATCTGAAGGACACTGTTCCTTGAGTTTGACACATGTGGTCTAGAACATGTTTGACTTAACACTAGAGGCCATGGATCAATACAAGTTGTCCCCATGACCTTAACCCTTGCAGTTCTACAATCCTGACATTTTGATAACAATGATATTTCACTAAACTCAAAGAGAGCATTTCCCATAACCACATTTTTACTTTATAAAGGCTTTTGGGTTTATGATGTGTGCACCCACATTTATATATCATTGGTGTTTTGTTTCCTATCAGCACAAGCATAAAGAAAACTCAATGACACTACAAAATTCAAAGTTGTAATTATCTTTTTCTCACTTTGCACTATTCTATTTATTAAAACATAATATTTTGTATTCCAATTATCCAACAGAAACACTGCACACAGTTGCTTTAAAGAAAGAATAGGAATGTGTTTTCTACTAAAGCCTTTGATAATAACAGGACATTGAGAAAGTGAAGCCACCACTTGAAGCCCCTCGCAATCAGTGACGTGCGGTGAGGTTCATGGCTGGTGAGGCACTGACTCTTTCAGAGTCAGATTTACAAATATCATATTTTGACCATAATCGACATATTCGGTTATTTTCAAAAGCTTATTTAGTCTGATGCTTCGATTCATTTTAAACAGACCGTTCAACAAAAGGATACCCAAAATCTAAATATTGGATTGTTCTTTCTTAGTATGATCCCATTTTCATTACAATTGGGGTCTTACCTTGACTTGAAGATGAAGTCCATGCTTTCCTTCTGGACAACAATCTCTATTACTTTTTTGTAAAAGTCCTCCTTATCTTCCTCTAGTTTCAAAAGTCTAGTTTGTTGTTTGCGTCGCGTCTACCCATGGATGTATAATAAGAACTGGATACAGCGTGGGAGGCGGGGCCTCATTCATTCCTATGAGAGCTGGGGCCCAGTCCAATAGTCCATTTAGCTTAGGAACCTTCCTAACCAAGTGAAATGACCCGGAAGGCCCTCAGTGGCAGCCATGATAAGTGCCGTTGTCAGTGTCACTACCCGATCTGCAGCTCTGCCCGATCTGCTGTGCGCATGTGCGAGATGGTCCGCCATATTGGACAACGCCGGACGGCAACCCAAGTAGGACAAAATTGACATCTAGACCGTCTGAACCATTCGCAAGTTTTTACATGTGACAAAATATGCATTGCGCATTCGCGAATTTTTACATGTGACAAACGGTGATTTGCAGAGTTTTTACATGTGACAAACGGTGATTTGCATTGCATCTGACAGAATGAAGACTTTTGCATCTGACAAAATGAAGACTTTTGTGTTTTATTACAGAATGAAGACTTTTGCATCTGTTTTATTATTTGGGGTTAAGACAGAGCCTATCATACTGAGAGAGCAAATCTCTGTTATCAGTCCTTTTCTTCAGACCATTATTGCTAAATTTGAAAGAGTCCTTACCAGCTTTGGAATTGTGTGTATATATATATACAGTGCTGGAATTGGGCCGGTACTCACCGGTACGCAGTACCGGCACTTCTGGTTCTGACCCATGGAGTACCGGCACTTCTTGCTCAGTACCGGCATGCTGGCGGTACTCCGGTACTCATGCACCGTGCCAGTACTCAACACTCTCCCGCCGTTCTTATTATACATCCATATATATATATACAGCCGCCCGGTACTCAGTAGATGCGTCATGAGGTGCCGAACGGACATTCTCATCGCTCTAACCGCTGGAGTTTCACAGCGGCTGTCAGCTGTTTACTCCTGTCATTCAAACAGAACGTGCTGGAGAGGGGGCGGGGCTTATCTTCTCCATGTACATACTGTGGTGGAAACGACTATGTCAAAATTAACCTATTTGACCGTGATTTAATAGTAATACACGTTTCAAAATAATAATAATAATAATGCCGAAGTAACAACATACTGAAAACTGTTAGTAAAACCATGTTTTAATGCTTTACAATTTACATACCTAGATGCACGTGTGTTGTGTTTATGCAGTGCAACTCCCACCCAGTGGGTGGCTATGTAGAGTGATAGAACAGAGCAGGCACGCCCCCGAGAGAAGGAAAGCAAGTCACGTTACAAATTAGCATTTCTAAAATGTTAGCATGGATTAATAAAAGTGCAAAAAGACAGCGGTTGTCGCCGGAAGAAACTTCAAATACAGAGAATGCTGTGCCTGTGTTGGAAATTGTGTCTGATGGGGAGCTTTCTTTGGTTGATCCTCCTGCTCCAAGTTCTAGTGCATTAGCATTAGCACTAGCTCCGCCGCCTCCTCCAGAGCCTCTAACGTTAGCTGCTGCTGGCTCAACTGCCACCACCAACACCGGGCAAAGCGATGCACCTGACTGCTGGACAACGGACCAGGTGCAATATTTTTGCAAGACCAATGCATGGCTCCTTCTTAAAGATAAGAAGCTAGGATGTCGGATATGCAGAGATGTCAAATCTTTGGGAATACACACTGGACAAGGACTGAAACTGTCAACTGAATGGGGTGAGTGTGCAGTGTCTCATTTCGGTGTTGACAAGGGCAAACAACAAGCTAGCCTGAGAAAAAAAATCAAAGAACATAAAGAATCACAAGCCCATGTAAAAGCTGCTGACATCCTTACATCTGCTTCACGTGAAACTATTCAACATCAAGTGCAGTCTATGCATACATCTGAATTAGACACCACTATCAGAGTTTTTCGAACCATATAAAATTGGCAAACATAGCCGGCCATTCACAGACATGCCAATTGATTTGAATGTACAGAAACTGAATGGGCTGAACGTGGGCAGGGTTTTGCACTCCAATAAAACCTGTGGCGAAATCATCGACCACATAGCTCATGAGCTGAAGAAAAAAATGGCAAAAGACATTACAGAAAACCAAAGAAAACTCTGTGTTTTGGTCGATGAATCTACCACTATTAGTGGTAAAACGGTGCTTGTTGTGTGTCTACGCTCAACATTAGCTGATGCTGAGCCCGAAACGTTTTTTTGGGAGCTGATCGAGTTGGATGGAACAACGGCTGATGACATCACAAAGGCGTTAATGGAGTGTCTTGGAAGAGATTTTAACGAGGACTTTTTAGGTCAGCGTTTCGTTTCTTTTGCATGTGATGGGGCTTCAGTCATGCTAGGGAAGAGAACAGGCGTTGCTACCCAGTTGTGTAGTAAATTCCCAAGCCTGTTTGTGTGGCACTGCTCCAATCATCGTCTAGAGCTGGCAGTTGGGGATGTGGTCAAGGAGGTCTCAGGGCTCAATCATTTCCAGATCTTTTTTGACAAACTCTATTCCTTGTTCCATGCCTCCCCCAAAAATCAGAGGCAGTTAGCGCAGTGTGTGCAAGCAGTCGGACAGCGTCTCCTGGTGATAGGGCGTGTTTTGTCCATCCGCTGGGTGGCTTCAAGTGAAAGGAGCGTCAGAGCAGTCTGGGAAAACTACCGAGTGCTTCATGATCACTTCACAAATG